TAATACTGATTCATTTCGGCGACAGTTTCGACTGTATCCTCAGCTTGTGCCTGCTTAATAACTAATAATCTTAACAGAATTTACTTTTGTTAACCACTACCACAGAAGTAGAGGTAATCTTAGCGGTTGGACTTATGAATATAAGCAGCTTATTTAAGCAAAACACACAAAATTCGGTTAAAATAATAATAATAATAACAGTTATATAGAAATGTCAGATACATGCTTTTTTATATAACGTTCACTCAAATATATAGCTAGTACCAAACAGTCCAAAATTCGAGTATGTATTCAAACACGTTGTCAGGAGAATTATCAGTGGTTTTTTTTGTTTATGTATTGGGTGAATTACTTTGGAAGAAGGCGATTAGAACTTCGCTTGATTTTGCCAATTGATAGGTCACGGGAGTAAGACCTTTCGCTAAATTACGTGCAAACATGCCAGTCAGTGACAAAAACATGTAAATGTGAGTGTTCTGCGCAATCAATAACGTACCACTTCTGGTTCACTAAGAAAAATGTCCTTCCGTCACACGTCTTTGTTAGTCTTTCAGGATTTCAATTACAACGAGGTTCCAATCTTTTTTGAAATGGTTATCAACCCTTTACGATTATCGTAGGCTTTTGTTGATTTGCCATAATAAGGTCAATATTCTGCATGCTTACCGAAGCCTTCAAAATAGCTTATTTTTTAAGCACTTACGTCAATAACCAGTTTTCTAATATTCTTTCTTATGCGCCATTCGATGAAACTATTGAAATCATCTTCACATATTTTTCCGAAACTTGCCTATCCCCTGAATTATAACGGTAATTATTAAAGTTGTGTGAGAAAGATGTACAGTTTCCATTTAATGGCCATCTACATCGACAAATTGGTTGAGTAGAATGAGAAATTTGCTGAAATATGTATGGGCGATCCAGAAAAAAAGTGTTCACGAAGTAAATCGATCGTGCACAACATCAAGGAAGTTGAAAATGTTTTTGTTTATAAGGAACAGCCTGCCCCCAAAATCAAAGTTACTATGGGACAGGAAAGGGAGAACCAGCTATTCTCCCTCGACGTTCATATTTAGAGAATGAAAGGTGGGTCCATACACGAAATGTCTACCACAGAAATACCTGAAAAAGTGCAGTACTTGTATTACCATAGTTTTGTTCCAATTCAATGGAAAGGAAACCTGTTATGCACTCTCTTCCAGGAAACTTTGTTTTATGCATACAATGGAAGCGGAAATAAGTAAACGCAAAAAAAACTTCACTGAAGCGTGGATATCCAGCACGGTTTAAAGGCAAATATAAAAAACTAGCACGACCCAAACCGATGGAACAGTCAGTTCCGAAAAAGCCCATTTTCATATGGTTGCACCTTAAGGTTGATACAATTTTAAATTTCATCGAGATACGACTAATTAATGCCATTGAGAAGGCATTTTATGCTACAGAATATATAATTTGCAATCCAACCAAGCTCTTACAAATTCCTCGTGCTAAGGATGTATTGCCGATGCACGCCACCTTGAAGAATAAGGTGTATGTCGGGAGTAACAAATTAATGAGATCTAGTTGCTGTCTCAAACGTAGGATGATCCCCAAATAACAAGTCTGGGAAGAGTGATTGAAATCGAACAACTTTGCTGCTCAAAAAGCTGTAGAGTGTCGCTGTGTACGATAGCCAACCATGCAGATGCAAAAGTAGGGAAGTGTAGGCTGTGCAATGAGTAATCAGTCGGTTGTCGCCATGCAAATGAGGCAGGAGTATCCGTTAGCCACAAGCGTAAACGCGGTGAGTTGACATGAAGCGTGCAAAAGGGGCAATAGTGCGCAGCAAGCGAAGCTCAGCGTCGGAAAGCAGCATGAGCCAGCGCAGTTGCTCTATGCGACGGTTATACCGTACCCCTCCCCCTGCGAGACTGAAGGTGGCGGGAATCGACGCCAAAGGCAGAGTTTATGTCTAAAAAACGTGGGTAACAAAACGGTCTGGGAAATAAGCATGGCGTCCATAACGAGTGATGTAAACAGGGAGAACAGATGGAGAGGGCTGAGTGGTTGCTACGGTTGTGTGGGTTGGGTGTTAGGCAACTGTAGGGAGGGGAAGTATACGGGAAGATGGGAGTGCGGGGATGGAAGGAGAAGGGGAAGGAGCACGGGTAGGAGGAACATGAGATAGGGAAACAGCAATTATAGTGGTAAACGGTAATTAACTGTCAACAAAGACGGCTGTCGTACGGGGTCATGAACAGAAATTCGTGTAATGGCTTGTCCCCAGGGTAGAGAGTTCCGGTGATCCTGCCTCCTCTTCTGGTCGGCTCGTAGTGGGTTCCTCTTTGTTTGCAATTCTGTCGTAAGTCCTTGCCTTGTTCCGTCCTTTGCTTACATACTGGCGTAAAACTTTGTAGGCCGCGGGGAGGTCTAGATGCCTGTTGACGGAGTTGGCATCCGAGTACCATGCCTCAAGTGTCAGCCTTTCGGCTTTAGAATTTCCTCGGCCTATGATGGTTGCTCCTTGAATGTCGAAGGCGTGGCCAGTTTCTCCAATGCGTGCTACAAGCTGTGCGTTTGGGTCTAATTTCTGAGCCGCCCATTTGTGTTCGTAAAGGCGGGTCAGCAATGTTAGGCCTGTTTCTCCTACGTAATCACAGTCTTCGTCGTTGCAACGTATATTGCAAACAACTGCAGATGTTTCAGTAGGGAGCAGTCTGTCGTTGGGTTGCATCACACGGTGGCGTATTGTTGCCTCAGGTCGATGGGCTATGCCTACTCCAGCGGGTAATAACGGTCGTGAGACTGCTTCAGAGACTACTTTTATGTCCCTGCGTATTTAACGACTTTCCGACGTGTCCCTGCGTAATTGGTGACCTACTGATGTGGTTGATCTCATTCATTTTCAAACCACCATCGCCTTCAATTTAGTATTTCCGGTGTCATCTGATGTCACCGAGATATGGAGGCTTACTGCATCGACATCTTGTTGTGAAGCGAGATCGAGATCTTCAACCACTCACAGCCCATTCAGCCCAGGTCATGGTTACTTCCCAATCCAACAGAGACGTCCTCTCCTGAGTACCAACATCCCTAGACCTTCTTCTCAACAGGTGGTACTACTTCCACCG